CAAAATAGGCCTATAAAGACTGGTCGGTTACAGGTGTTGATGTCTGCATGATTTCCCAAGTTAGGGACTTGGGTCTCTGGGTGGATCATGATATTTTCAACTGGACATTCAGAGGAAAAGTCATCTTGGGGATGAAGAGGGCATTTTGTGACATGAGATAGCTTTTCAGGTAGAAAAGTCCAGTCGGCAACTGTGGCACTGGTAAGGGTCAAAAGGACGTCATTCGAAAGCTACCTGAAGTGCCTGGAACTGATTTAATCAGTGAATTAAGAGAGAAAGGGGCCAAGGACAACAGAGAGTGTAATTTGTTCAGATTGTGGATCAAGGAATCTATGCATGCTCTACAGAGAGAGTTTAGGAATTTCTAACTAGTTGTTGCACAACCATGTTTGTTGTTTCTACGGCAGACCACACTTTGGATTCTGTTCTTTTCTTACACATGACTAATGCGTTTTTTTAATGAGGTTGGAAGTCTCAGTCAAAGACTAGCAGGACACTGACCCCTTCTAGGCTGTTATCTTTGTGTGCAGCTTTGGTGAGGAATTAGGGAGTTATTCTCTGAGACTGAGAAACACATGCTCCCACTCTGCTTTCCTAGGCTGACCTGGATTCCAGCATGCTGGCCCTATGGAGACCTACAGAGAGCCACACAAAGGGGTGTCATTTGTATGCAGCCCCTTAACTGATTGTAACAATCTGTCCCTTAAGTTTCTGAGAAAGCACACAAATGGATTCTACAGTCCTTGCTCATTTTCAAGGACACTTTTTGACCTTTCATCAAATCAGCCACCCCACCCCCCACCCCCCATTCACCTGCTATTTCAATTATGTGAGCTGTGATGTATCTGCCTCAAAACTCCCTGTCCTGGGAAGTTGCCTCAGAAGAGAACTATTGGAAAAAATGTTTCTGCTTTTGAGCCAACTCAGGGATTTCAATCTTTTCCAGCACACAGAACACCTGGATTCAAGTGTCTATTCCCTCCTGACTCTGGGAGAATGAGCCGCATCTTGAACCGAAGCTCATAAGTGCATTGAGAAGCTATGAGTCTGTTTCCTCCTGCTGTTCACTGAAGCAATGAAAAAATAAATGAATTCAGATAGTCCCGAGGCAGTTTTAAGTATCACAAGCTGGGGCTCAGCAGTGGACTAGAACTGGGGCCTGGCCTTAACACCAGATGCACTGTCCTGCACACACTGCTGGAGCCACCCCCTCCCAGATGCCACGCTTGCTGCTTATGAAGATAATTGCTCACCCTGACTTACAATCTTCTTTCGCACTGCCTGTAACTCCTTGTGCTTAGACCATAAGAGGGCTAAGATAAATATTTTCAACATTGGGCTTTGCCAGTTGTAAATATTAGTTAACGTATAAAAAAGCCTCAGAACTCCTTGATTGCAATCTCCTTTACTAATGGCAAAGGAAAGGTGTATACATTGATCCAAGATCACAAGCTGGCAATGGGACCCAGACATATTTTACTTAACTCTCCCAATGATGTCTTCACGATAATAAGAATTTGATATTGGTGTTAAAAAATTGAGATGTACTATATAAAAATCCATGTTTCTGACTGTTCTTGACAACTAGAAGCCTGGCAACACCAGGCTACATTCTCCTGGGGTGGCAATTGATTACTCCTCAATAGTTGCTCTCCCCTTCAGAGTGGGCCAACCTCTCCCATTTGCCCAAGTCTCTCACTCCCTATTTGTCTGACTCCTGAGCCCCCTCCCCATATATGCTAGGTGTCTTGTCTCTATAGGCTTTTGTGGGCTCTAGTAGCAGAGTTACTTAGAACACTTACAAATTAGCAGGAGGTTTCAGACACATTATTAACAGCTTTATTAAGATTTAATTCAGATACCATAAAATCCACCCATTTAAGGTACAATTCAGTATTTTACTATTATACACAGAATTGCGCAACTATTGATATCGCCACTGTAGAATTTTAGAACATTTTCACCCGAAAAGAAATCCTGTATCCATTGGCAGTCACTCTCTACACGCCTCCCTCCTCCTCCACCCCTAGGCAACCACCAATCTACTTTCTGTCTCTATGGATTTGGGTTGTTTCTACTTTTAGCTATTATAAATACTGCTGTTATGAACATTTGTATACAATGTTTTTGCAGGGACATATGTTTTTATTTCTCTTTGGAATAGACCTAGTAGTGGAATTTCTGAGTCTGATGTTAACTCTTTGTTTTAACATTTGGCCAAATTGTTTTCCAGAGTGACTGCAACATTCTACATTCTGGCCATCGCTGTATGAGGATTCTAGTTTCTCCACAGCCTCACTAGCACTTTTTCTTGTCTAGTTGCTCAAAATAGCATTTAATTGTGGTTTTGATAAAGAACTTTTTTTTTTCAAAAATAGAATTCATTAATTTTTACAAGGAAGTGTCACTGATAAATGATGCTAACCAACCCTTACTCATCAACGGAACTCTCAGCTTGGTCTCAGTTCTGACAGCCAGCCCACATCATGCAATGTGTTATATTGCTGAGCTGAGGTCTGTGGGGGAACCTGTAATGGATTGTGATGGTCCGTTGTACTGGGGCTAGGTCACCTTCCCAATGACTACTTATATCTGCTTTAAGTATCCTTATAAAGGAGACCCCACAGAGCTCACTTGATCTTTACACAATGTGAGGCTGCAATGAGCACACTGTAGTGTGCAGCCTTGAAGAGGTGGCCCAACAGAACCAGACCATGAGGAATAAATTTCTATTGCTTATAAGTCACCCAGTCTGTGGTACTTTGTCATAGCAGCCTAAACTGCCTGAGAACTGACCTTCCTAGAAAGGAAGTGATTGCCCAGCTCCAGACTCAGGTTCTAATTCTCTACACAAAGCTATATTTTCTCCTTACTCCTTTTTTAATTTTCTTACTCTAGTATATGGCTTTGATGTATTTTCTTCAAGTCACTCTTTTCTACTTTTGTTCATTTCTCTCTCTTCTTTCAGTCTTTCTAGCTTCCATCCACCTATCCTTTCAGACTAGCCTAGGGCTACTGATTCAATTTTGAGACTTTGGAGCCTCCTTAGTAATCATCATCAACCACCAAATGTAACCACATGAGGCCTCTTTGCCCAACAAAATCTGATACAATTATCAAATGTTCCAAAAATCTCACTTCAATTATTTGGTTCCATTGTTTCCTTAAGTATTTACTGACAATGTTTTTCATTGAGACATTTTGGCCACCCTATGTGTAATTTAATATGTGATTTTGAAAAATGAAAGTTCTTAGGGTGGGTGTGAGAAAAACTACATTAGCCACATTGTTCTGACCCACAACTGTCCTTATTTTTATGTTGTCTACCCAGAAGGTCACAGTCTGATCACGAGAACATCCACTTAGGCATCTGGGGCAGAGAGATCTAGTCACCAAGTGTGACACTGAAATTGTCCAGGAACTCCCAGCCCTTCTTTATCAGCAGCTGTGGCTTTTATAGAGCACCCTTATTACCCTGGGTGTTATATCTACAATAGTAAAGACCTCCTGGGGGGCTTTAGTTTCCTTCATCTCAGAACAGACCTCGTCTGTATTAAGTGAAATGACTTAGAACATCACCTTTCACCCCAGGGTCTGGAAGCCTTTAACAGCCTCAACTCCACACTTCCATACACAACCACTTAGGGAAGGACAGACAATAAACAGGAACTTCTGGTAATTGTCTGGTCAGGGAGAGTGAAGAGAAAGAGAAGATGGTATCCCCCTAGCAGCATAAGCTTTTATCCTCAGGCCACTATGACTTAAAGCTCATGTGAGTGACCTGTGAATTTTACTACAGCCTGTATATAATTAATACTTTACTTGCTTAATCTTTCTCTTTAAAAAAAAAAAGATTTATTTACACAAAAACCTGGGTACAGGCCAGATGTGCGGGAGGGCGAGAGGATTCACCAGAGACAGAGCGGGGAACAGAACAGGCAGACTGACGAAATACACTGCTGAGGGGAGGAGCAGGCGAGACAGGAGAGGTCTGCTGCGCCATGTGGGCATCTCCATGGTCAGCGGGGATTGAACTGGCACTGCAGAGGCTGCGGACAGCCTCACAGCGCTGTGCTCAACCACCTGCACCACCAGGGAGGCCACCTAATCTTTCATTAGAAGTTCATAATTTGCTAGGAGGTAAAATGGTGATAAAAGATGATTTATTTAAAGAAGTTAGAGCTTTCAGCTGGCACAGGATCTTGCTCTTAATGGTGAGTCACTAGTGGAATAAGATAAGGTGTCCAGAAGACAAAAGGTTTCTTATTTTCCTGCTGCCTGACATTTGTTCATATCCCTGCCCTTGTTCACTTCTCAAGGAAGTAGGTTCTATTCTCATACCCATCCCAGCTTGTTGTCATACCAGAACTCAAGGACTTCAACCCCTGGAAACTTGCTTTGATGTTTATCTTTCTGAAGATTTATAGAACTAGTTTGTGTTTCTTCAACTCAGGCTCTCAGAGAAGGAAAGGTTAACATACCTTTTTGTTGGCTAGGATGGGAAGAAGTTGCGAAGGGAAAGGAAAGGAATTAGCATTTGCTTTGCCTCAACGTCTGTGCTGGGTACTTTATGTATATCATTAAAGTGACCAATGCATATGTGTGATGTGCTGAGAGAAGCAATTCCAGTGGGCTCACCATCTTTGAATGATTGTCGTTTCTTCTATTAGCCAGTAACTGTTTTTGTGTTTGCATGGTTTTAATCCCAGATACTTTCCAGAGTCTATTATATGATGTCTTCTTGTCTTTCCTGTCAAATCTGGCTCTGATACATCGACAAACCCAAATTGCATGTTCTTCCCTCTCATGAGAAGCTACTCTGGGTTAATCTTAGCCTCAAACACTCTTTGTTTTCTCCTTTTTTCTGCTTTCTTTATTTGTTGTGAGAAAAGAATGTTTATGCTCTCAAATTGTCAATTATGATATCATAATAAAATATTTGATTTTCATCATTTTGGTGAAATCTAAGTCTAATAAATATTGGTTCTATTTATTTATTTTTAAATATGGAACACTTCACTAATTCAAATGTCATCCTTGCTACAGGGACCATGCTAATTTTCTTTGTATCACTCCAATTTTAGTATATGTGCTGCTGAGTTGAGCACAAATTCCATTTAGATTTTAAACAGGCTGGCAAGAGCAGCAGAGGTCTTGCTACTCTCTCTGAGACCTCACCATTGCCTGCTCAGACTGTTGAGACCCCAGACCTACTTCAGGGAGGGTGCCAGAATGGCCAGAGACCTCACAACCATCCATGTAATCCTGCCAATGCTCTTTCAAACCAGCATTCTTCAAAGAAATGGAACACATATTGCTGAAATTCATATGGAATCACAAAAGACCCCAATAGCCAAAGCTTTCCTGACTGGAAAGGAAAATAATGGGGGTACTACACTTCCAGACTTCAAACTGTACTACAATAATTAAAACAGCATGGTACAGGGACAAAAACAAACATGCAGACCAATGGAATAGAATTGACTGCATAGAAATAAAGTCATGCATATATAGTCAACTAATCTATGACAAAGGAACAAAGAATATACACTGGAACAAGGAAAGTTTCTTCAATAAATTGTGCTGGGAAAATTGGATTGCCACATGCACAAAAATCAACTCAAAATGGATGAAAGACTTGGATGTAAGACCTGAAACCATAAGATAGATAGAAGAAGACAGGCAAAACACTTCATAACATAAACTTCTGAAACACCTTTCAGAAGTTTTCTCCAGAAGTGAGGAAAATATAAAGAGCTAGGCTACATCAAACTGAAAAACTTTTGTAAGGCAAAAGAGAAATGACTAAATGAAGAAACATCCCACTGAATGGGAGAAAATATTTGCATACCATATATCTGGTAAGGGGTTGATATTGAGATTCAATACAATTCAACAAAAACAGAGCTCACACAGTTCAACAAAAATCAAAACCCAATCAAAAAATGGGCAGATGTGGGCCTCTCTGGCGGTGCAAGGGTTAAGACACAACCTATGAAGCTGTCAGCAGCCTCTGATCTGATCCCCTGCCAGAGAGCAACCCACATGACTTGGCAGACCTCTCCTGACTTGCCCACTGCTCCCCTCAGCAGTGTACTCTGATCAATCTTCCTATTCTGTTCCCTACTCTGTCTCCGGTGAATCCTTTCATCCCCACCACACCTCTGGCCTGTACCCCAGCTCTTGTATGCATAAATAAATAATTTTTTTTTAAAAAAAGGGCTGAAGTGCTAAGAAGAAAATGCAAATGACCAACAGGCATATGAAAAAAAAATGTGTATTATCACTTATTATCAGGGAAATGCAAACCAAAACCACAATGAGATACTACTACCTCACACAGGTAGAATGGCCCATATTGGAAAAAAAGTACAAAAATAGAAACAACAAATTCTGGTGAGGGTATGGAGAAGGAACCCTCTTACACTGCTGATAGGAATATAAACTTGTCCAGCCACTATGGAAAGCAGTTTGGAGGTTCCTCAAAACACTAGAAATGTATCTATCATGTGATGCATCTATTCCACTCCTAGTAATTTACCCAAAGAATACAAAAATGCTAATCAAAAAGTAAACCTATACTCCTATGCTTATTGCAGTACTATTTACAATAGCTAAGATATGAAAACAACCTAAGTGTCCCAAAACAAATGAATGGATTGAGAAGATGTGGTATAGATGTACAATGGAATACTACTCAACAACGAAAAAGATAAACTCATGCCATTTGTAGTATCATGGATAGTGTATATATTTTAGGGTTATAGGTTCACCCCTCCTCAAGTGTATGTTATAAAACCACGACCATCCACCCATCACCAGAGCATTCATAATCCTCTACCACCTTTCATTGGGCCACCTCCACCCTTTGCTCATACCCCCACCCTCCTTCCCCCAACCACAGTTCTACAGTCAGACTTCCAGGGTTTGTTTTGATTTGGTTGAATTTAAAGTTTTTAGTTTTCAGGTTATTTTTTAAAACAACATATTGTTTCTGTTCCCCCTTCCCCCTACTTCCACCCTAGGTAGTCTAGCTCCTGTGTTTCCCCTACAATTCATAAGACCATCACATGCATCCCATACCCCAATCATGTTCCTTTCTTCATGAATTCTAGAATCAGACTGAGTTTGTACCCCACTGCCAGAACTTCTGAACTGTGTGGCCTTGGGCACTTACTGCTTCATTTTCCTTATCTGATGACACTGATTTGGTTATTATTAGGATTACATGGCCTGGCAATTCCTGCCCTGTCTCACCCGACTTGAGTTAACCCGGTAGACAGCTGCCAGATTAATTTGTCTCAGCATGACCATTCAAGCTCAGAAGCTTTTGGTTCCTGCTCCCTGTGCCTTGGCATCTGCAGTTCTTCCAGATTAATCCACACTACCCTTTCCAGATCCATCTCTTGCTCTCAGCCTAAACACATATCCCCAGCCAGTCTGGACTAGTCATCATTCCCTAAAGATTTACTTTCCTCACGTTACACTTGACTTAGTCCATCCTCTTTGCCCAGAATGAACTATTTTGTCATCTTTGCTCTTTAAAAATCCCATCACTCTTCAAGCTACCAACCCATGCCTAACCATCCTCACTAGGAAGCAGTGGTTGGAGGTGACCCCAATCATAAACTCCCGGATAATCTGTACTTAGATGGCACCTGTCACAGATTCCCCAAGATGGACATCTAATGACGATGTCCTCTGTCCCCCTCTAGGCTGAAAGGCCCATGAAAGTAGGAAGCCCCTCTTTTTTACATGTCAATGCTTGATGAATATTTGTTGAATAAATAATGAAGCCCTCTTTCATCCCCTCAGTTTGAATTTTATAGTTTCTTCTGATGTTTAAACAGAGGAAGGTAGAGTGTATATGCAATCAGGATTTTTGCCTTTTTTCATCAACATCCACTTTCTGAGTGTTAGAAACTGTGCTAATTTTCTAGGGTTAAAAATAATTACAGCTATGACTTCCTGAGCCCATCCTAAGTATTAGGACTCATACTAAGTAGATACTTTTCACAATATCTCCCTAAAACTCACAACAACAATATGAGGTCGATATTGGGTTGATGGAAAAGTCGTGACTCATTTTTGCTTAAAAACACAGAAAAAATACATTATGACTTTTCCAACAACCCAATATTATTATCAGTGTGTTGTCAATGTAAACTACAGGTCAGAGACATTAGTAACTTGTTCAAGATTGCCTAGTTAGGATTTGAGGTCAGGTTGTCTGAGCTGAGGGGTAAAATGTAGTCTATCCCCCAAATTACTAAGTGTCCAGTAGAGAAGATGTGTGAGCTTATTCTTACCTTCATAACTTCATCTTCTGGTCTTCAACTGCACTGGTCTTCTTGCTGTCCCTTCAGAGGGCCAAGCTTATTCCTGCCTTGGGACACTTGCGTGTACAACTGTCCGGACACTTTCCAGGAATGCTCTCATGAGTTTCACATGACTAGTGTGTCTCATCATTCAAGTCTTGGCTAGAAAGTCATACAGAGAGACTTCCCTGAGTTCCCCAGATAATGTAGCACTCTTGATTCCCACCCGCTCCATTTATTATCTACCCCAATTGCTGGATTTTATATTCTTCTGTTTCAGTTGATCACATTTACTTATTTGTTTATTTGTTGTCTGTTTCCTCCTGCTAGAATTATAGCCCAGCAAGAACAGAGATTTCTTCGCCACTCTGTCTCCAATATCTGGAACAGGGCTTAACACGCAGTAAATGCTTAGTTGTTGGATGTTGAATAAATGGATGAATTATTGAATTGCTAAGTGTCTCAGGTTGGGTTCTGCAAAAGCAGGTACTGAGTGAACTTTGGGAGTACAAGATGTTTCCTAGGGATCAAAACTTGTGAAAGGAAGAGAATGAACAAGATTGAGGAGAGGGAAGAATTGAACTTTGGTACCCAACCCAGAGGCAACTTCTATAATAGAATAAATAAAAATTTTAAAATTAAAAATTTCCCGTTAGTAAAGAGCTAGTGTTATCGTTTAAAATCAGGTTCACTCTAGAACTTGTTGCTAACTTTTTCCCTACTCCCTCCCTCACTATGCCTCTTAGTTAAGGGATATGACCCACTTCTGGAAGGCCATGACCTTCAGCAAGGAGTTCCTCTAAAACTGAGCTGAAGCTGAAGGAGCTCATGCTGGAGGCTATCTGCTGAGCATACTCCCTAGAGCTGGACAGCAAATCCTTCCTTGAAAGGGGCCTTCAGACACGTGTTTTAGTATTTAGCATATTAACAATAAAACCATAAAGAGTGGTAACTCATGCATTATCATCCAATTATTAAGACTTGGTCTTCAGAATTAATATACATCCAAAAGCTGGTACTAGTTATATTAGAAATTTTAAAGAAACCAATATTTGTTGATTTCAAATCACTCATGGCTTTGATTCACATATAATAATCAGTGGCATTACTTTCTTTTTTTTTGTAGCCATAATTATTTGTATTATAATTTTTGGAAATGTACTAAAAACTTGCCTAGAATTATCATGGTTGTGTTTTGTTAGTGACAAATCTTCAAGATCACGGTTTAGCCTTAGCAAATTCCAGTAAATTAAAATTTCTTTTTTTCTTTTTGTAAAGCATTATTTAAATGTTTTCCTATTGTAAATTTCCTCATATTAGAAAACCTGTAGGCAAAAAGCAACTGTCTGCATGTTATTTTATATTCTAATTGTTTATCTTTTGGTTAAGTCATCTAACATGTAAGAATTATTGATTAAAATCACTATTGTCATGGCTGGTATTATTTTGCATTTTCTGGGATCTAGAACTAGTCAATTTTCTTTTAGTCCAGCCTTTTTCTTCTTCTTCTTTTTTTTGTTCACTTATTTATAGCTCTGCTGTGGATATGCTTTGGAACCTTAGTTTCATTGCTTCAATTGATCTGTGGTAATTGACACACTGCACATTTAAGGGTATTTTAAGGGCATCTTCATTATATGTAGACACATACTCCTTGATAACTCAAATAGACTATGATGAATCCCCTTCATACTGTATATTTTTGAATTTTGATTGGCTATGTTGGTGTGTTCCCCTTAAACACAGGACTGAAAATCTGACTGTTTGAAACAACTAACCTTTCATTTCTG